TGCTCCTCCTACTACTACTACTACTACTACTACTACTACTACTACTACTACTACTACTACTACTACTACTACTACTACTACTACTACTACTACTACTACGCGGCAGGAAGGGTTTACCACCATAACTACCGAAGACACATTTCCTGTATTGTAAAATATAAAATTAAAATATGCCACGAAATAATTTAATTAAACACGAAAAGCAGCTTGAACATACCAAAGGCACCTTCAGTGAGATGCGGAGAAAGTGAATGGATCCATTCGTTATAGTGCGGTAAAAAACATTCGTGGGGCAGCTTTTTGTCAAATATTTCCATAACTATCAAATACAGACTCTCCTGCTTTTGCACAAACACTCGTATCAATTAATTTAACAAAAGATCAATGTTTAAAAAAAATACCTGTTAGCTGTGTTCTAGAGGATCCTTTTATAAATACTTTTAAAAATCCAAGAGGATGGTTCCTACAGATTTTACAAGTTTTACTGCTAAGGCAAAATCACCTTTAAAAGCAAGTCCGGATTTTTTTTGTCCAATCACGACATTGTGGTTAATGAATGCACATTTTGAGTTTGAAAATCTTTAGTGGAAAATGTGTTTACTGTAAACATTGTTATTAGTGAGCTGTGACGTAAGCCATATATAGGTGAAAGCAAAATGTGTGGGAGAAACGGGAAGTATAGTCAACTATTCCAATTTTCGCGAGACGAAGATTTAGATCTAGATCTATACTATTTTATATAAATTAATGAAGAACAGTTTTTAAAAAAAATCTAGCCGAAATTATTGTGGGAAAAACATGATTAAGCTAAGACAAACTGATGCAAACAGCTGCGCAAAGTAAGGATGCCAATGATTCTCCCGTTAAAAAGATATTTGAGGATATGTTGCGCGACGAATTTTTGACCGCACTGTTGTGTGGCATCCCAGGCCAAAATATCATGGGCGCGAGTTTTGCGTTATAATATTGGTGAATAATGTCAAGAATAAATGCCCATTTTTGTGAGATGTAGGACTGCACATGGTTTAGACGACGGCACTTTGATTTTAACATAACCAGAATCGTTTTCGTTCAAGCCCATGTCCTTTCTACTTGCGAAAGGAGTTATTTTTCTGCAAGGCGCTTACATAAAAACCAACAAAAAACAAAACAAAAAACAAACGAAACAACCAAACAACAACATCAACAACAAAAAACAACAGATAACAACAACTACAACAACAACAAACAAACAAACAAACACAGAAACAAACAAACAACAACAACAACAAAGAAACACACAAACAACAACAACAACAACAACAACAACAACAACAACAAACAAAAAGCAAACAAACAACAACAACAACAATAAAGCAACTGAAAAAAAGACAACCTTTGAGAAAACGAAGTTCCATCCCACAGTGACTGGCTCTGTACTGTTGTAACCTTTGTAGGTGTCCAGTGTTGGTTGGAGAGCTCCTTTCACCCGGCTGTCGATCTGAAACACATTAAACACGAACTCAGTGCTCATGTGGCAGTTTTTTTGAGTGTTAGTTTTAGCACGAGTTATCCGGCACTTGCAACACAATGAGGTCGTATAAGTTCCGAGGAGTAGAGGTGTTAAAAGAGTGTAACGAAAGCAGAAAAGAAAGGGGAGGGGAGATATAATTGTTTGTTTTGTTTGTTTTTGTAAAGTGTTTTACGGCGCTCGCAGCTGCATAGGTCATTTGAGCGCGCGGGACACACCTAATATTTTCAGTTGGTAGGAAATTTCGAATTTTGCCCGGGTGGCGGCCGAAGCCTACTCTTATCGATTTTTAGACCACCAAGGGATCTTTAACGTGCGCAACTTGCACACGGACCCTCCGAGATTTTTCGCCCTTGTCCGAGAAGGCTAGGTGTAGATTTTTCCTACCAGAAAGACAGCAGTAAGGAGGAGCCAAGGAGTAGCAGTAGAAAGGCTGCAGAAAGAGTCAGGAGCCCAGAGGAGGGGGCAAAGGAGGCGAGAGGGTGGGGGCAGAAAGTGGAAATGAAAGAAGACGACAGAATATTGCTAGAGAGCAGAAAAGGAGGTGAAAGGAGACAATTTGAATGAGAGGCCAACACCTTAACCTCTAGGCCACGAGAGCCCCCGAGAGATATAAGGACGAAAGATGTTTTATAGGAAAGAAAGAGCAAACCACACCAGACCACCCGTCAACTAATCACGGCGTGGCAGTGTTGGTATGTTACAGCGTTTACACCCCTTTCCAAATGGCATCATCACTGCCTTTCTCACCCTGCACCAGGGTATCGGCCACGGACAAACACCTTCCACCTTTCTCTATCCTGGGCTAGCCTCTTGATGTTATTCCATGTCTTCCCACTTTTCAGCACATCGATTTCTGTGATTCTGCTCCAGGTTCCGAGCGGTCTTCCCCTTGATCTCTTACCCTGTGGGTTCCAATCCAAAACTTCCTTTCCAGCTTTCCAAATGGCACGATGATTTTAAAAGAGTGGGACCCTGGCTTCTACGGTGCAGGTTTTGTAGGGTGCTTCGCCGTCGCTTACTGAAGACGTGAGTTCGACTTCCGTGTGGCGGGAAGTTTTATCAAGTATCTCCGCCTGCATGCCAGGATAGTGTATCGCTCTCAGCATGGGCTGGTCCTGACAGGCAGAGTCGAAGTAACATCCCCTCCCTCCCCCCTCCCCTCGTTCTTCTTAAATGATCTTAATTGTGTCGATGAGCGTAGAGCATCAAAGACTACATATTATATTACAGAAGGTGGGACGTTTGAGGCACCGCCCACTTCCCGGTAACCGAATCTTAGAGGGTGCAAAACGAGCGTATGTGGTGTAGCGGTCAGATACTTCGTCGTCGCGCACAGAAGACCTGGGTTCGATTCCCGTAACAAAGATTGTTAATTAGTATCTTGATCTTTCTTCTGGAACATTGTATAATTATCTCCTTGCCTTTTTCAACAGGTTGGCCCTGATAGGTAGAATCAAAGCCTGCCTTCTGAATGAGGAAAATTGTGTCGACGGGGCAGTAAAAATAACTACATGAAAAAATATCCATGGAGGGTGACAGACTATGATAATCTATAAAAGTATAGATTGTGAAGCGCATGCATAGAGCTTGCTGTAGAACAGGGATTTGCGCTATACAAATGTTATCTATTATAATTCGAACAAAGCTGAGCCCCTTTGAGGATTAAAACCAGGGACACCTGCAATGCTTTCAATCGCTTTGCTAACTGATTTTCTCCTGTGTCTCTGAAGCTGTACAATGTCTTTTCGCGTGTTTACTTGCTTGTTAAAGTGTTACTTTCTAGCATGAGTTTGAGTTTTTAAAAAACCCTTTAGTCCACGAAAATATTACTTGGGTTGATTATCCAGCATCCATTCTAAAGTTTGAGGAGGGCGTAACCCAAGATAAAGCTATATTTAGAAAGGTCACCCAGTGAACAGATTTTTCAGCCCCATTAGACACCCTAGCTGCTTTTGCTATGGTAACTTACAGTTACGAAAAAGTCCCCATTTAGCCAAGAGCAAGCTGAAGTATTCAAGCTGCAAGAGGTAAAATGACTTGTTAAATAACGAAAATGTCCTCTTAACATTTATTAGAAAATCCTTTTAGACTGATGAATATGAGTCACACCATAGCGTAAAGAATGATGATGCCTCTCGATATCACCACTCTTGATTTTCTTTGGTTTGTTCAGTTGAAGAAGACTATAAATGTGTGATAGACGGCTTGATAGATAAATAGACAGAGTCACATACAGAGACACAGAAACATAGAGACATAAACAGATAGCGAGACGGAGAGATATTGGGAGGTAGGAAAATAGGGAGCTAAATCGTTTTTGAATCACCAATTCAATGAATACATGTTTGAGTGTTCACAACTTTAAACAGCAATCTTTACATAAACACTGATTTGTTTCTGTGCAGTCTGCTTTTCATTAGGACATTTTAATGAGAAAGCCAAAACCCACAAATACACTTATCCATCCTCACACTCTCTCTCTCTCTCTCTCTCTGACTCTCTCTCTTTCTCTCTCTCTCTGACTCTCTCTCTCTCTCTCTCTCTCTCTC